TCCAGGATTCTAATGGTGGTCCGACAAGGATTCATTCATGATTTCAATGAGTAAATACAACCATCTCCATCATACTTTAACACAGAACGTGGCTTCATCACTTTCTACAATACTTTGAGCAACAGTTTTGGAGGTTTGCGCTTTTACACATTTGAAATCATCAACCAGTCATTGTTAGATGACCACCATTAGAAACCTGAAAGCACTGGACAATGGCCGTTTCGTCCTGGTATGGGACTCATCAATGGCAGTGCGCATCCACGACTCCAGCTCCTCGCAGGATTCGAACCCGGGACCTTTGGCACTGTAGGCGAACGCCTTACCATCCAACCGTGTTAATTTCTAACTCTGATTGATCTAGGGATTTGGCGTGACCTCACCCATTTGTCTTTGTTAGTTACTGCCTACACCCGACAGGGTTGAACTCCATTGGTCACGTCTTCTACAACGGCAACGAAAATAACGTGGCGAAAGTGTTGTTTAATAGAATGTTCAAATAAGTAAATAATTCATCATTTTTGAAAAAATTATATATGAAATTTTAGATAATTCCACTGTTTCGTCCATTTGTCTTGTGTGGACTTCTTCAGGTTAATAATAAGCGATGCAATAAGTTAAAATGTCGATTGCTAAGATGAATTTCCATTAAAATTTTGAACAAATCATTTATTCTCAGTATAAATATTCAGTGTCCAGTTTTTGTCAAGCTATTAATAAATAAAAAATTGATAGACGTTCGTGTAGATCAATCTGATTATGTTAAATTCTATTCTGTTTTGAAAGTATGTACTATTTCAATGAAGTTATGAATCGATCATTGTTACACGACCTTTAGGAACAGGGAAGCACTGGGTGAACTTTTCATCCCAGTATGCGATTCATTAGCAGTGTCCATCCACAAGACGTTCACTCAGGAATCTTATCCGAGACCTCTGGTCTCGTGTGCGAACGCTTTACTCTGAAACCACTGGATAGCGATGGTGGATATGCAGTGCTGTTAAATCCCATACTGGTATGAAACAGCTGTTTACTGCTTACACTTTTCTAAATGTTGATCTAACAATGATTGATTTATGATTTGAATGGAATCTAACAATCTTCATTGATCTAAAAAATGTTGTAATGTATTTGTACTAGGCAATTCGAGTAATCTAGTCATATGTATACACTTGTTAAGGCATTTTCTATGAAAAAAAAATATTAAAGCCTAATTAAATACATAACATTTCTTGACAGGCCAGTCAGTGACACTGTAGAACTCCGTACGTACCTGACATGGCTCAAAACCGTTTGCAATGGCGCCGGTGCATTTATTCTTTGTGTTCTCTCAAATCCTAATCTTCTGAATTCTTCAACCCCTCCAGTTTTGACTTTTTAAACTTTTCTCACTGTCTCATACTTCTGGAATAATATCTTCTAATTCTAACCTCTCCGATTACTTCTAATACCTTTACTACCTCTTCTATTATTGGATTTGAATTGACAATTACATCTCTGTGCTGATGTGGTATGGGAACATGAACTGATGTACTTATGTACAAAGTTCTATGTTGCATCTGACTGACTGACTGCATCAGTTGAAGTTGCCATACTACATTAGCACGGAGAGGTGGAATTATCAATTCAAATCCTATAGTAGTATTAGAGATTGTAGAAGTATTATCGGTAATGGAGAAGATTAGGGATCGAAGATATTATTCAAAAAGAAGTATAATCCAATCAAATAAATTTAACAAATGAAAAAGAAACAGTTATGAGGAATTCAAAAGATTAGAATTTGAGAGAACACAAACACTGGATGTGTTATAATGTTGCTACGTAGCTATTCAACATCCTACTGACTGACCAAATTCAGATGTTCCAATGCGACCCTAAATACTATTCCCAATCTCCAATATCTATCAGAACACAACACCGTTAGATGAAGTTATTTATGGGATTGAGTACAGAAAGAATGAATGAATGAATGAATAAATATGCTTTACAGATAATGCATATTTATACAGTGTTAGGATATTCATCCAATATCCTAAAAGAATTATAGGTCGATTGTTATTGGTTAATTTCTACTGGTCAATTTTATGATCGTCCCAGATATCAATGTCACGTGCTCCAATGTTGTTTCTTATTGGTCGTCTTAAATGACAATGTCACAGAATTCGATGATGTTTCCTATTCAACCTAATTGCATAAATACGCATTATCTGTAACATTTTATGATCAGGATCCCGGATCCCTAGTCCGGGATCCTGATTCTCTTCTGAACTCGGACCTCGAACTTTCTGAATGCTTGTAGAATACATGTTCTACTTCATATCATATCTTCTTATTTTTACTCAATATGGGGGTTGGAATAATTGGATTTGAGTAGCATGTCGTGTCGCCAGATCCTCGATCCTCGCTCTCGTTCTCCGACTAAGGTAAACTCGTAATAGTTCAAGCATATCAAATTGACGTGTTTACGTGCAGGCATAGCATACAGTTACGTTGAATAGGAAACAACATGGATGTCTGTGACATTGATAGCTAGGGACGACCATAATATTGACACCAGTGGGAAATTGACCAATAGAATTAGACTTCCAAAAAAATAATTCTCTTAGGATATTTGATGAATATCCTAACAGGATGTACCTGTACTAGTGTAAACGATTTTCAGACATATCATTCAAGATCTTTAACCATATTGGTTACTAGTATTGTCTCGCGAACTACAACCAGGTAGTAGTCTACACCTACTACTAACTAACATGGCTATAGTTCAAATACAACAACTTCATTATTTCATTGTTCAATTAAAATTTCTTCTACTAAAGAACTAATTGCTCTCTATCTCTATATATATTTCATTATATTATGTTTTGGGGCAGAGTTTTAGAGGATTGTGTTTTTACACATTTGAAATCATCAATCAATCATTGTTACACCACCACTAGAAACCTGGAAGCACTGGAAGGCCGTTTCGTCCAGGTATGGGAGTAATCAGCAGTGCGTATCCACGAATCCTGCTCCTCGCAGGATTCGAACCCAGGACCTTCGGCATTCTAGGTGAACGCCTTACCATCGGACCACTAGGCCGACATTCAGCGGTGTTAATGTCTAACTCTGATTGATCTACGGATTTTGCGCAACATCACCCATTTGTCTTTGGTAGTTACTGCCCACACCGGACAGGGATGAACTCCATTGGTCACGTCTTCTCAACTAGAACTCCGAGAATTTCCTCAGGAAGCTAGTCACTACTGAGTACTGTTATGATATTTTCTGGCAGAGTTTTGGAGGTTTGTGTTTTTACACATTTGAAATCATCGCACTGCTGACGAGTCCCATACCAGGACGAAACGGCCGTCCAGTGCTTCCAGGTTTCTAATGGTGGTCTAACAATGATTGATTGATGATTTTGAATGTATATTATGTTTATTTTTTATTAAAATATTTTCTGAAATATCTTATTAATTATCAGGACCAATGAACATTTCATTGCATAATATTTCATCATCACCAACAACGTATCGATCCATGTCACAAATATCCGATAATCTGCTCCAGAATGGCACCCTTACATCATCACAACTACCGACAACAACAACAACTTTGAATCAGACATTGAATTCATTAGTAAAAGAACAAAATACTGGTTGTAGTCGTACGAATCGTATGGCATGTTCTGATTGGAAAATGATACAACAAATAGAACAACATGTATTCACATCATTTGTTACAATTTATATATTGGCACATGCAATTTTTATATTTTGGCTTTATTTCGATGTAAGTTCAATTTTTTTTTATTAGTTAGTTAGTTTATCTTACTTGCTTACTTACTTACTTATTTACTTACTTACTTACCTACTTACTTACTTACTTATGCACTTACTTACTTACTTACGCCTTGGTATCCTTAATGGAGTATAATAGGCCAATGAACAGGACTTTCTAAGGTACTGTGACTTAGGTCTTCCTTTCTAGTTCTTATCAAATACTGTTCATTGTTTTGGTGTTTTCCTCTTCTCCTGTGACCTTGAGGATTTGAAGTAAGGACTTGTTTAGGATACAGTTGGGTGCTCCTCACAATGTGTGTCCTACTTGAGTGTGTTCATTTCAATGCTTACTTCTCTTGTTATATATATCGAGCCCGACAATAAATACTTAGTCTTGCTTCATCGCATTGAGTTGGTTTACTCGTCTTCACCACTTCGTTTCGCTTTGGTTTTACGTTTTATATTTTTCGTGTCTGTCTACATGACCGATCACATGAAGTGAACTCATCTAACTGGTATTTTCAATCAGAGTTATGGAGATCAATGTTTTTACACATTCTAAATCATCAGTCAGTCACTGTTAGACCACCATTAGAAGAAACCTGGAAGCAAGCACTAGACGACCATTTCATCCTGGTAAGGGACGCATCAGCAGTACGCATCCTCGACTCTTACACCTCGCAGGGTTCGAACCCGTGACCTTCGGTATTGTGCGCGAACGCAACCTCTGGACCACTGGGCCGGCATGACTGATTTCTTATTATTGAAGGAAAGATTTATATAATGACATATTCGGGCGTTAGTTGATACTGCGATCACATTTCAGGCGATATAATATGATCGTCTTCCATAAGAAACAAATAATGAAATAAGATGGTAGAGAAAATTTTTTAGCTCAGGTGGATGATTGTGATGGGTTTTCATTCTCTGAACTGGATGTTTTGGTTATGAACATTCAAGTTAGCCTAACTGGACGTGGTGAATTCATTGTCTCGTTTATCGCATTTATCGACTATGGTGAATGAACTCGTAATAGCTTGAAGCGTACCTAGTTAACGAACCTAGCAATTGTACTGTAGTGAAGGAGAACGCAGGTGAGGGCAACCGAATTGTATTTAACTAAAAATTACAGAGTTACTCAGTAAAATAAGAAAACCATATCGTAAACGGTTAATTTGCACATCTTCAATCAATCATCAATCCATTGTCTGACATTTCACTTATTCATGCGATTCATACAAATTCCATTGTGTTCCCACTCTTTTGTTTTCTTGATCTTCCCCCATCTTCTGCTGCCAGACATTACGTTGACACCCACGTCATATACTACTTATAAGTAGCTCGCAACACAGTACTTTTCTCCAATCTTGTATAGCGATAGATCGTTAAAACATTTTATGTTACCCATCTGAATGGATTATACGATCGATAGATGTAATTGACGTTTAAAAATAGACAGAAAGAGTTAACTTGTAGTAAAACAGGTAACGCAAATATTTAAATCGGACGCCTAAATAAATTTATTGAACAAATATAATAAATACAATCATTGATTATTATCTTGTGTCCTTTTTTAATTGAAATATTTATCATGATAGAAAGATTATGTCATTCATTGTATTGTGTGTGACATAATTAATATCAGTAATATGTAATTTTGTGCACGCTTGATAAATGTACACATATGTAAGTAAGTATGAAAAGATGCTACCACCATATGTTTGTCTGACATCATTCAGAGACATTTTGTTTTATATATATATATATATAGTTAGTTGAATGAAAATTAAATTTCAGGTGGATAGGATAATAAGTGTGATTTAAATTACATCTGTAAAAATTAAAAAAATTTTAATGACAAAGTCATCATTATCAATCAATGTTCAATTACTTTACAAAATGTACTTTCTTTTCGTTAAATATTCAATATATATGATATGTATGTGTGGTGCGAGCTACTTATAAGTAGTATATGACGTGAGTGTCAACATAATGTCTGGCAGCAGAAGATGGGGGAAGATCAAGAAAGGAGGAAGAGTTAGAAAACAATGGAATTAGTGCATGTAACGCATGAACAGTGAGTGACAATGGATTGATGTTTTGCAACAGGAAAAGTCCAGTTCGATTTGATGAACTGACATTTTGCAAATGAACGATTTACGATATGGTTTCCCCATTTCACTGAGTTAAATACAATTCGGTTGCCCCACCTGTGCTCTCCTTCACTACATTTGGTGTCGCTGCCTGCTCGAAGGAAGGACCTCCCGTGGCCGAAGGAGTTGAAGGACGGAGATTTGCGGAGACTCCTGGAGGAGTTTGAGTCCGCGAAGGAGCTGGTAGGGGCCTGAGGCGGAGTTGGCGGTGCTGGGAACGCTGCGGGGAGGTGAGGCGAAGGCGGTATACGACAGCCTGAACGGTGCCGCCGGGGAGACGGCGTGGGAGACGGTCACCGGTCGGCTGATGAAGGAGTTCGATAGTCCGGTGGACAGGGAGGAGGCGTCGCAGAGGTTCCGGTTGGTGAGGCTGTCGGCTGATGGTGACCCGTTGGTGTTGGCTGTGTAGTTCACGATGTTGCTGCGCCGTACGCTGCCGATTATGGATAGGGAGTCGGGGGCACAGTTGTTGGCGTCGCAATTTATCGAGTGTGCCTGCCGCCATGTCCCAGCAGCGGGAACTAGTAAACGCTACACGTTGGATAGATGCCGTACCCATTCCAGACCAGCGGGCAAGAACAATGACCAAAGTGGTAATCCGGATTATTGTAGCGTGTCACGGAATACGGAAGGTGATATTAACTGACTAGGGTCCCTGTTTTGAAAGACTACGACGACAGCTTATTAAAAGGGGGAACGAGTGTGGTGCGCGCTACTTATAAGTAGTATATGACGTGAGTGTCAACGTAATGTCTGGCAGCAGCAGATGGGGAGGGAAGATGAAGAAAGGAAGAAGAGTGGGAACACAATGGACTTTGTATGAAACGCATGAATAGTGAGTGACAATGGATTGATGTTTTACAACAGGAACAGTCCAGTTCGATATGATGATGGACTGATATTTTGCAAATTAACGATTTACGAAATGGTTTTCCGATTTTACTGAGTAATTCTGTAATTTTCGTTAATTACAATTCGGTTGTCCTCATCTGCGTTCTCCTTCACTACATATGTATATATGTATGACTTCAAACTTAGTTTAAAACAACTTTCTTGCTTAATTGTTCATGCATAAAATTCTAATTAAAAAAATGTCTACCAAAAAATTGTAGAAATTATTCATTTCGTTGTACTTTTAAGTGCGTTTATGAGGGCAAAAGTCAAACAACAAAAGAATGTTGAATAATGAATGAGTTGTTGACTTTTAGATTGAAGTTTGGACAACTGTTTTTCTGTGTTTTACGCTCATATTCAGTGTAACTCCTTGTGTATGTGGAGCAATTTTTTTCTTCATGGCCGGATTATAATAGTAGTTCTCCTAAAACTAGTTCCAGTTGTCCGACTTGCATCAAATACGTTTCTCTGGTTCCAAGCACTTCCAGGTTGTGTGTTTCCATTTCTGCATCAACATGGAATAATAGTCTTCGTATTCTCCCACAGTGTTTGAACGTTTCATGTACGTAAGAGAATAATGGTTGGTCTGTTTGAGAGGAATGGCATCGGACTCGTCATCATGAGGTGTGATAACTCTTCTAAACGAAGATCTTCTAACTTCTAGGGTAGAGTTTAAATGGTTTAGAAAATTTTTATTTTCCGGGTAGCGTTTTTAGCCTAACCAACCTCCTTCATCCAGTCTTGAGATTGGCGGAGAAGATATTACGATTACTTATGGTTTAAAATTCGTATTCATCATGCCGATTTCATTTCTGTATATTGATTTGAACTACGCGCTCGAAAAAATCATGCATTTATGTATCGGATTCTGTGTTAATTATGGGTAAATGATGGGAATAATTGTTATCAAATATCTCCAATGAGATATTTCATCATAGATTGGATTAAAACATGATTGCGTTGTTTAACGCTGATTGGATATCTCTTTCGTATTCGATCAGCGTCGATCGATACTGAGGAAACATTCTTACTTAATTACTTACTTACACCTGTTACCCCCAATGGAGCATAGGCCGCCCACCAGTTTTCTCCAACCAACTATGTCCTGGGATCCCTCTCCAGTTCTGTCCAATGTTTGTTGATTCCTCTCATATCTTTCTCTACTTCTCGGCGTAATGTTTTCTCTGGTCTTCCTCTTTTCCTTTTGCCTTGAGGGTTCCATGTGAGGACTTGTCTTGTGACGCAGTTAGGTGATTTTCGTAGTGTATGTCCTATCCACTTCCACCACTTCTTCCTGATTTCCTCATCCATTGGAATCTGGTTTGTTCTCTCCCACATTAGGTTGTTACTCATGGTGTCTGGCCAACGAATCCTCAGTATTTTGCGTAGACGAATTTTAATAAACACTTGTATCTTCTGGATGATGATGGCTTTGGTAGTTCTCCATGTTTCCGCTCCACACACTAGAACTTTCTTGACATTTTTATTGAAAATGCTGATTTCGGTTTTGGTTGAAAGTTGTTTGGAGTTCCATATGAGGGAACATTCTAGAATCTTCTTATGTAAGAAAACTGTAAATATATTAACGTTTTGGACTTCTCTGACTTCCCCATTTAACCTCGTTATTGGAATGTAATCTCTATTTCCTGTTCAACTGTGTTTCTGATTTTCATGGGAACGTCTCGATTGATGTCAGAGAACAGTAAGCATTAAGAATGGCTGGGTTGTAGCAAAGAGCGAATTATAATGGTGGTCTAACATTGATCGATTCATGGTTTCAAAAATGTGTAACTTAACAATCTTCACAACCCCGTAATGCAAAAATTACCTGTGCTCACTAGTGACTAGCTTCGTGATGAATCTTCTCCGAGTTCTAGTGGGAAGACGTGACCAGTGAAGTTCGACCTGTTCGGATGTAGGCAGTGTCTACCGAAGACTGTGTATGAGGTTGCGCAACTCCGTG